CTGGCATTTTCTTCTGGCTGTAAAGAGAACACAAGGGAAATCAGACCAGTTGAGGAACAAAGAACAGCACAGCCCAGCCTGCGGGGAACGCCACATCTGGACACTTACGGCCCGACCGAAGATTTATCAGTTTCTTTCCTGGTGTATTTTTCTGGATAAACGGGTTCAATTAATTTGGCCAATCAGAGAGGCCAAATGCACACAGCGTTATTTTAAGAAACTAGGAAGAGCTAGAACACCACCCCAGCTCCTTTGGTTGTGAGGAGCCCCTGCTCCCGTGTGGAGACGGCTGAAGGGTAACGGGCTCAGGAGACGTGATGGGAAGGCTAAGAGCCAGGGCAGGGCTGCCAGATTTAGCAAATAAGAATACACCCATCGGGTGGCCCCGTGGCGCAGCAGTTAAGCGCGCACATTCCGCTTTAGTGGCCGGGGTTCGCCGGTTCGGATCCCAGGTGCGGACATGGCACCACTTGGCAAGCCATGCTGTGGCAGGTGTCCCACTTATAAAGTAGAGGAAGATGGCACAGATATTAGCTCAGGGCCAGTCTTCCTCAGCAAAAAGAGGAGGATTGGCAGCAGATGTTAGCTCAGGGATAATCTTCCTCAAAAAAAAAAAAAAAAAAAAAGAATACACCCAGTTAAGGTAAGGACACCCAGGAAAATTTGAACTTTTTTAGTTTAAGTACACCCCGTGCCATATTGGGGACATACTTGTACTAAAAATGTATTGGTGGTTCATCTGAACTTCAAATTTAACTGGGCATTCTGCATTAACCTGGCAGCTCTGTGGGGGCGGGGAGGGCTGCTCCTAGGTTCGTCCTGCCCCATTTTAGCCTCCCTCGCATCTCCCTCGGGCTCTGCAGCAGGACAGGAAGGCCTCCAGAGCGAGGGCAGCTGGGAGCCCCTGTTGGCCCCCCTGGTGAACCCCAGATTATGAGGATGAAAGTGACCTTCACCTTCCTGCTGGCTCCCCTCGAGTCCCCCGCTTACCTAGAACCCTGGGGATGAACGGCAAAGCCTGTGGGCCCTCTTAGTGGCAGAGCCTTCCATGCTGTGCCCTGTGTCTGTGGTGACACAGCTAGCTGCAGCCAGAGACTACAAGACCACCTCCCTCCTCCCGTAGGGGAACCCACATGGGATGGGGGAACCTGCTGCAGGGGAACCTTTCTCTCTCTCTCTTTGGGTTCCCATGGGGGCCCATAAAGAAGCCCCCGGCCCCCATGCTTGGAAATGTTGGAAGTGTTACTGCCCTGCTCTGCACCCGCCACTCACACAGCCCGGGCGGAGCACTGAGTGCAAGTCAGGGAGGCCACTGTTCTGTCCATGGGTCCTCGGTGTGTGTCCTAGTCCAATTTTGCTAGTGAGAAACCCATTATTTGTTAAAATTAGCATCTGACTCTGGTGTCTACTTCTCTATTAGTTTAGAATGCGGAGGAGTATGATTTACCAGACCCCACAGGCCCTATACCCATCAGCGGGGGCAGGTGGGTGGCTGCGCCAGTTTGATCTCCCTTCACCCCCTGCTCCCCACTGCCCTAACTCCTGATCCTGCCCTAGAGGGCCCCCCCCCTTCAGGCTGGCTTCAACAGCAGCAACTAAATTTTAGGTACGTTGGGGCCAAATCATTTAATCCTCGCACAAACTCCATACTGTAGGTTTGCATTCCTTCTAAGGCTCATAGAGGTTAGGAAGGAGTCTTGCCTAAAGTCACACAGCTGCACAATCTCCTTATCGAAGGAACACTTCCAGGAGAAGGTTGGGAGATGTCCTCAGGGCTTATTCTTCCCTCTCTGATAATATCCATCCATCCCTACTACCACCACCTATGAAACATTTATTGATCTCCTACTCTGTGCCAGGCACTGTTTTAAGAACCTAGGATACAGCTGTGAACATGAGCCAGTCCCTCACTTCCTGCTGTTGAGATTCTGGTAGCAATAAGCAGCATTTATTGGAGGCTGACCACGAGCCAGAGACTGCTCCAAGCACTTTACTTCCGTTGTTCATTTAATCCTCATAACAGGTACTAATATTATCGCCCTCTGTTTTGCAGATGAGACAGCTGGGGCACAGGAGGTCAAATCATTTGCTCAAGGTCACAGCAGGTAAGTGGAGGAGCTGGCATTGGCTCCAAGCTAGTCTGGCCCAGGGTCTCCGATCTTAACCAGCCCCTTCTCCTGCTCTTCCACTATAGTCACATTCTCATGGCGGCTTTCTAGAAATAAGGCCCCTGTCTTCTGAGTCTGACCCCAAGGAGAGAAGTCGATGGTGAGAATGTCACAGCCATCTGACATTTTGGGGGGCTCGTGGAGGCCCCTGAGCAGGCTGAGCCTCCCTGTCGGTCCAGCCCATATCTACACACTTCTACCAACAGGCCTACTCAACACCCCCTCACCAGGCCTCCACACGCCTGCCACTGTGCCCGCCTGTCTCTGGGCTGGGCCCTTGTTCTCAACAGCAGCCTGGAGGAATCCTGTGTTTTGTGCCTCGTCCCCCAGCTGCCACTGCTCTTCCGGACATCTGGAAACCCTAAGTGAAGCTCTGGCCTCCCTCCTCTTTGCAGTTCCCCTGGGAACTCAGCTGTGCTCCCTCCTACCCACGAAGCGAGTCTGATCCCAGAGGTGGCCTCTTAGAGTCGCTCTACTCCAAGGGTAGGCAGCTGCGGCTTCTCCCGCTTAGCATCGTGTGCCTTGTCTTTCCTTTGTAATTAAAATTACAGGCAAATTTCAGCCAGAATGAGCATTCTTGAATATCCAAGAATTACAGAGATTTCAGGGGGGAAACCTGTTATCAGCAGCATCCAACAAGAGCCGATAAAACACTCAGCTATTAAACAGACTCTTGGTCTGGGTTGGTGGCAACTTAAGAGAATCCAAAGATCTCTTTATAGACAACAAATGAGAACTTGTTCACCTTAACATTTACAAGGGTGCCTGAGCCTTCATTTCAGAGTTTCATCCTCGCCATGTCACTAAGAATAGACAAGGAACCACACATCAGGGCTTGGTGGGAGCAGAGTCTGGCCAGACCTGCAGTTTTCACTGGAATTAGCAGACTACTCTAGCATGAAAATCTTCAAATGTTAGACTACATTTTTTTTAAAGTCTGCAAAAGTGACCTATATTCTCATAGAAGGCTCATGTAAAGGCCAGTAAATGGGAAGCTTTGACTCCATGCCTGGTGGAATGTAAGAGGTGGTGGGGGCTCAGAGACCACCTTGCCTAGCTCCCCGACACCAAGGGCAAAACTGAGAGACGCCCGGAATAACGAGGTGATTTGTCCAAAGTCATATAGTGAGAAAAAACTAAGATGAGGCTTTAGGTCTCTTGTTATTCCAAAAAACATGGAATTAAAAATCATTATTATTAGGTCTTTGGTAATATGTGAATTTATATCAACTCAGAAAGGACAATTTCAAATTTCATGAAAATACCAGCTTTGTGTCCACACACCCAGAACAAGAGCTATTAGAAGAGAGGCCTTTGCAAGAACTTTCAGTGGTTGGCGTGAGGAGGTGCAGCCGGGAACGGCATGTGATGGTTTCCGGCACCTGACCTGTCACAGGTGGACAAGCTCCCACTCTTTCCCTCTAAGGCTGGCAGATGCAGGTCAGTCCCCATTTTCCACTCTTCTGAGAGGGCTCACCCCTGTGAGATGACAGGGAACCCACTGGGAAGACACGGGCTCAGGCACTGAGGTGTCGCTACGGCTGCTTTGCACCAACCCTGTGAACTAGCGCCCGCGTCCCTTGTGCCCTCTGGTGCCTCTGCCTTCCTGTCAACAGCAGGCCCCCTTCTCTCCACCACAACCACGTCCTCAGGGCTTAGCCAGAGTCTGGCACATACTCAGTGCCAGTCAACGCTGTCCAAGATGTGAATCTAGGTTTGAAGTACCACCTCGGGTACCCACATCACAGGGTTTCCTTCCAGAAGAAGGGACTTAGTGTGGCATCAGCTGGCAGTTAGAAGGTCATCTCTATGCGTTCTTAGTAGATAACAGCTTAAATAACCCCTCCCCAAGGTGACCATATTTAAAGCCTTTACAATGAGGCCAGGACTCTGTGATGAAATTTCAGACAAGATAACTGCTGAGGGAAGAGTTATTTTGGAATTGGCAGAATGAGGTGGGTAGGAGCAGCTTTTCTAGGTTCTTCAGATCAGACCATGTCAGCAATCGCTGAAGTCTGCTCGTCACGGGCCTAAGAAAGAACGTCAGTCCCCGGTCTCTTTACCTTGGTGCCCGGATGACCTTCTACTTACAAGGGGCTGTATACAGATGGTCCTGCTATAGAGCCCAGCAACCTGCCATTACCCAAAACTGAATTATTAAAACATGTGTCTCCATGGAATTAAGAACTAAAGAATTTCCAATTCCCAATTAACAAAATGATGTTTTTTTCTATAGGAATTCCCAAATAAAGTTAAGAGAAATAGTTATGCATATAGCTACAAAAGGTAAGCCCCACTGCACAAACCGGGTACCATGTGTGCTCACATCTGGCTTTCGTCCAGTAGGCCTCTCACAACACCTACTATGGGCGAGGCCCTAGGATACAAACAAAAAAAGTCCTGTCCTCCAGGAATTTATACTGAGCCAAAAGTAGTCTTTATAACATTTAATCTCATTACGATTCCATAAGGCAAGGACTACTATTCTTTCTACTTTACAGATAAAATGAGGCCGAGAGAAGATTAATACATTGTTCAAGGCCTTTCTTTTCCAAATCTACTAGCAGGTGGCCAAGGATTCCCACACATTCTAACCAGTGACCACCCAAAGCACAATGCCACTTTAACAAAGCTGCCAGTTCCTGATTTATTGGTTGATACGTTATAATCAATAGCTGTTTGTGAATTTCAAATCTTGTTCCCTAATCAATTGATCCCCTTATGATGGATGTACTCTCTCTAGGAGAAATGCTTATATTTTATCATTGACACACTGAATAAAGAAACCCCAGCTCGTGTGATCATAGCCACACGGCACTGACGCATACTCACTGTGGAGTAAATTGACGACGTGCTGGAAACCAAGGAGAGCGAGGATCCGTGAACTGAAAGCAACACAAAAAAGAGAGCAAAGGTGAACTGCATGGTTAGCTGCTTTGGAGCCAAAAAGGGGGAGGAGAGGAAAGCATCAGCATTATAGGACACAGCCAGGCTCGCAGCAACTTAATCGCACCTTGATCCAACCCTTCCTGGTCTGGTGATATGTCAGTGTCAAATAAGGACTAATTTGCTAAGGGAGCCACCTTTCTAGACCACATTTTTTTCTACAGCCTTCTAAATAATTTCCCCCCCTGACTTTCAAAATAATACCTGATTACTGAATAAGAATTTTCAAGTGCAGATAAGTGTTGAGAAGCACACTCATTGCCATAACCTGCGTGACTCATCATTCTACTGCCCAGAGGCAACCTGGTGCCGCCCAGCAGATCTTATTCCATTCTGTTTTCAACTGTGTTCCTTTCGGGTTGAAACTGTGTTGCATATGTATTTTATACCCTGCTAGCATCTGTCACTTATTTATGCAAAAAGCCGAGCTGATTATTTTGAACATAGGAGGCTGCTGGACATGGTAAATTCATTCTAGATGTCCACACAGTAGGACATTTGTTTAGAAAACATTTCCACTGGCTGGAATATAGATTCTTTCATTCGATTTCTATCCCGTCTACAAAGTGACAAGCAAGCGGTGTCCTCCTTTCTGTGTGTGATGGGTACTTTTTGACTTAGACCCATCCTCTTAGCACCCCCTCCTGCCCCCAGCCAGTGGAGACATTTCATGATTTGGTTTCAAGGAATTTCAAAGCGTGGTCTTTTCTAGGACTAGGTATTCTGATTGACTTCTCTTTTTGGGAATGAGATTCTTGAGTGACATTTTCTCAGTATCCGTTTGAAAGACAGGAACGTGCCTGTGGGGACAGCGCAGGCCTTTGCCCTGGGCACAGCTTTCCTGACCACGCGTGGAATGCCTCCCCTCCCACCACGCCATCGCCTGGGGTCTGACAGTGGGAGGCCCACTTTCCACTGTATTCAACAGCGTTCACCTACCACCCAAGAAGCGAACTCAACTCAGATCCGCAGTCGGCAGAAGCTACCTGCCCATGAGGTGTCTGACGAGCAGCTCAGCCTGGCACGCAGATGCCTCCACACTGTCTTGCCAGTGAAGCTCCTGACTGCCCCGTTCTTCCTTTATGAGTTCCCATCACACTCTGATCCCTGCACTTGGCTCTCAAGCATGCCCCGGATGGTACTTCCCCCCAGAGCCTCTGCCCACACAGCTCCCGTTGTTTAGGATGCTTCTAATCTCTGCCTGTGCGAACATCAGGTCAGCTCGCTGTCTTCTCCCTGGAGCCTTTCCTCATTTCTCTGACTGCCACCAGACGGGCTTCCTTCCTTCTCTGAGCCCACACAGCTCTTGGCTTGCCCCACCTGCCCTCTCCTCTCTCAGCTGGCACCTGTTGCCCTGAGGCCGGCCCTGCACCATCTCTCACATCTACCTTCCTTAGCAATGCGCGGGGTTCCAGCGCTTTCCCTCTGTTCTTCCTCCATCCAGGACTCATCTGGTTGGTGCCCCATAAATCAGTTTAAGGTGTTAACAGCCAATAATAGCTTTCAGTGTCAAGATGTCCACACATTAACAGAGGCCTCTCATGCCCCTACCTAGTGGCCTGCTGTTCCCAAGGGGTAACAGAGACAGCCCTATGACGCAGACAGGAGTGGGGAGATTATATTGGAGGCCAAGTTGGCGGGGGAGATGTGGGTAACAGGCAGCCCCCTTCAATCACACTGCCCTGCCAGACCCCAGCCCAGGGGCCTGCACGGCTGCTCCAGGGCCTACGGCTGCTGGAAGATGCAAGTTCTTCCTCTTCTCTTTCTCTCTCTCATTCCCATAGACTAACTGACACTGCCCTCAGCAATATCTCAGTGTAAGTTGGGGCTTCAGCAGGGAAGAGCACATCTGGCCGGCTTTGGGTGAAGGCAATTATTTTTCTCTGTAATTAACGCCTCTCACTTGGTAAACAGCAACAGCAAGGCTGTGGGCCAAAGAAAGATTCCTTGATTTCCAGAGTCAACCCTAAGCTGAATGTGGCTTGCCTGAACCCTTACAGCTGGCTCTCCTTCAAGTGAACTGAGCCAAGTCAGAGCCTGGGTTATGCGGCCTGGATACTTCTGGACAACAAAATGTATATGGGACTCGCAACGCCAGAGCAGCAAAAGCATGCTATGTATTTTCCTCCCTATACCTGTTCCTCCAAATGTGGAAGGTACAAGGAACCACAAGAATGTCTAGGCCATCTCTGCCATTGAGCAATCCGAAACCCAGAGAGGTCAAATGACCTGCTTAAGGTCACACAGCATTCAGGAACAGGATCTGCTGACCAGGAGTCTGGAGATTGCTTTGCCCTTGAGTGATGTGGTTTACTGGTTTCTGAGGGTTTTTTTTTTTTTTTTTTTTAAAGCCTTTTGGTATCTTTTAGAATGGTTTTCTAAGCCGCTCATTGAATCTACACACAGGTATAAACTGGGACCAAAGCAGCAAAAAATGCATATTTGAGAAGAACCTGATTTCACCCCTACCTAGAGCACAGGGTGAAATCACCAGGCAGAATGAAACAACGGGGCATATTCCAGCCAATAAAGCCACCCGGCACCTCTGCTGTCACACTTGGGCATCTCATACACATGTTCAGCTTCAAAACTCAAAGCGCTTTCTCATTTATAACACTGTTTGAAGCGATCCTCATCACCACAGAGAATTTGTATGTAATTTGCCCAGACAGGGCAGGACTTTCTACCCTAATCAACGAAAGAGTAAATTAAGGCCCAGAGAGGCTAAGTGACGTGGCCAGGCACACACAGCTGGGCAGGAGCAGGAGGAGAACGTGAATCCAGGCATTGCACTGCGGTTCTCACTCCACCACAGGGGGCCTCCACAGCCAGTGAGAATGAGATGCTAACGGATCGCCCTCTGAACCAGCAAAGGAAGCAGAACCGAACACAGAGAACACGTGGATGAGGGAGCAGGCTTCGCCTCAGACAGGTAAGAAAGCCCAGCTGTGAGCAAGGAAGGACTGAGTGCACAGACAGAGGGCTGAGAATCTAGGGCTCTGGACCCAGTCCTGGTGCATCAAATCCCAAGTCACTTCGTCTGCCCCAATTTTACCACAAACAAAATGGGGATGAAACGGCCCTTGGGGAGAAGGACAAAACAAAATAAGACAATTATCACAATAGCTACCATTGATCAAATACTTACTACAAACCCCTTTAAAAGTCATTTTGCTAAATGCTTTCCAGGATTTATCGCACCTTATCTGCACTTCATCCTTTGAAGCAGGGACAATTATTTTCCACATTTTAGTGGATAGGAAATAGGCTGAGCAGGGTCAAGCCCCTTACCCAGTCACAGTGCTCACAGAGGGAGTGCCAGGATGTGATCACAAGTCTAACTCAGGGGCCAGAAACACAAGGGAGCTGCAACACAAGATTTACTTATTAACAAGCTGCTCTGCTCCTGTGGATGCCATATGAACTGATTCAGTTCACACCAGCTCTTAGGGATAATTGGTAAAGTCGCTGGATGTGTTTTCCTCCAAAGACATCCATTTCAAAAATGCCTTAAGGATCTCCCTACATGTATGTGATTAAAGTTGACTTTAAGATTGCATAATGCACCTAATGGAAATTAATTTACCTGAAATAACTTTGAAAGGTTGCATCTGGGCCATGCCTGTACCTAATCTACATATTTATGACTCCTGCTTCCTTCAAAATAGAAAGTGCTAATTAAATCCAACAAAAACCTCACACAGGTACTTGTTCTAATTCTTCCTAAATTTCTTCTCTTTTTCTTTTTGGTGAGGAAGACCAGCCCTAAGCTAACATCTGTGCCAAGTTTCCTCTATTTTATATGTGGGATGCCACCACAGCTTGCCTTGATGAGTGGTGCCATGTCCACGCCAAGTATCCAAACCCACGAACCCTGGGCCGCCGAAGCAGAGTGCGCAAACCTAACCACTATGCCACCTGGCTGGCCCCACTTCCCAAGTTTCTATCCTGCTTTCTGGCATATGATATACCTACCTGACTCTTACAAGGAGGTTCTATTTGGTCCAAACATGGAATATGAATTTTTTCCCCAGCTGTTTCTGCAATGCTGGGAGTTTATAAATTGAAAAGGAAAAAAAAAAGTCTTCACCCAATGGTATTGCAAACTCCTAATTGCACAAGCCCTATTTTGCTTGCGTAACACAATACCCTTGGAAAAAATAAAATCAATCTGATGCCAAATTTCCCAAGAGATGAAAATGTCACGTGTTCATAAGAGTATCGACAGCAGTCCCTACAACTTCGCCCCAAATTTGATTACTACCTCTGCACTTCAGTTCCCCATCCTCATGAATCATCAGGTTTACAGAAGTCTAGACATTGCTCGCGGGCAAGCCCTTCTTATCAATGTCACGGGACGCCCTGGATATTCCACACTGTGCTGCCTGACAGCTTGACTCCAGATGGAGTAAATAAAAGCTATCTGCTGCTGCTGCTGTGACGGTCCCGCACCTTTACGAGGCAAAGTGTGCTTGTCTGGACAAGTTTCAGTGCTGAATGTGGTTCACTCAGGTACACACATGACAGGCAAGATGAATAGGGCACAAGCCACACTCCATATGCGAGTTGTCACCAGGAGGCTCGGAAACGCTCCGTGGCCATACTTGGCTAGCACTCGGACGGGAAAAAAGAGCAAGACAAAAAGGCCTACTCCTTCATCTTAGGGTCGACACAGCCTGCACTACTCCTGCTCTGAGTGGTTACAGCGCTATTTCCTAGCTCTTCAGTCCAGCAAAAGCCTCTCAGTAACTCAGGCGCCACCCCTCCTCCATCCTCTGTCCAGCAGGTTCCCATATATGGATTTACGGACTTGCGTCTGCTCACTGGATGTCACTGGATGCAAACGATACATAAATCAGGGCGGAGAGAACGAAGTCACTAGGCAGATTAACTAGGGGCAGCTGCTCTGTAACTCAACTAAAACTTCTGCAAAAAAGAACACAGGGTAAGCAGAAGCCTCTATCCTGCATTTCTCTCCCTCTTGACTGTTTCGGGACTTCCTTATCAATCACAAATTTATTTGCTCTTTTCTACCCAGAGGATGCTGGGCATATTTCCCCAGTCTCACAGGGAGGAACCGGGAGCAGAGGGAAGCCCCTACGATCCCCTCCCACATTCTGTCCTGTGGCTGGCAAAAAAAAAAAAAAGCACAAATAGAGACACTGCCCTTAGCCCAGGCTCCACTTCACCAAGAGTCCCCATCCTCTGGTTGGGGACTTCTACCTGCCAGGACACTAATGCTGAAGCTGAGTCCACAGACTGCGACATGTAATAACATTATTGGGTTAACATTTACATATATTTATATAACATTTATATATTATCTCATTTAATTCTAATAATTTCATGAGCTGGCTACTATTATTACTCCCATTTTATTGGTAAAAAAACAGAGGCACAGAAAGGTGAAGCAATGGCCCAAGGTCATATGCCTAAGAAGCGGTAGAGCTGGAATTTCAACCCTGGTAGCCTAACTTCACCGGCTCCAGTGTGCTACCAGCCCATCTTTGGGAGCTTCTGGTGGGGGGGGATGTCCCTCCATAGCATTTTGACTGCTTGCTCCCCTAACTCACACCTTGAGTGAAGGAACAAAGGGCAAGAGAAATGAACCGAGTTAGGAAGATGGCTGACAAAGTTGCCCACAGTATTTTTCTCCCAAAATTCTGATTAAAATGAACAAAACATAAAGATCCAACCCAAAATATTCATGATTAGCAAGCAAAGAAGGAAAAGGTCATAACTAAATACAGTAAACTTAAAAACCTAATGCTTGAGTAAAGAAATAGAAAATTCTGGAGTGGAGCCGAGAGGAGGGCTGTCCACAGCTCCCCAAAGCCATAGGAGTGCATCAGCCCAGAAAAATGAACTCTGTAGTAACTCACTGTGCCAGGATGGTGAGCAGGGGGCTGAACATCACGACGGGGGCACAGGCCAATAGCTATGGCCCAAGTCTGTGAGAGAAAAGCTTAGAGCGGAACTTGGTCAGCCCTATGTTCACCAGGGTTTTACGGGCAGCCTCTTCCCTAAAGTCCTGTGAGGTTAAAGAGTCAGACCCTACTATTCAGAGCTCCCCAGCCCGACCCCAGGGTAAGTGGGAGAGTTGGAAGCACTTACAGGTGGACAGGTGGCTCTCAGGTCAACGAGGGGAACTCGGCACAGAGGAACATTAACCACACCGCAAAACCTGGCAATGGTGTGTCTCCCTGCTTACCTTCTTCAAACCCGTCCCGGAACGAGCCTGAGCGGCTCATGGTTCTGCTCTTCTCATCCAGGGACATGGAGCTATTGCGGAAGCGGCTGTCGGTGTACGGGTCATACTGCCCATCGGCATTGGAGAGGCTGTGGGTTCTCAGCATGGTCGGGTTGGACAAGCTCATCTGAGTGACAGTGGTGGGACTCGCTGGAATGAAAGGAATGGAATCAAAAGGTTAGAAATTCATGTCTGTTCAAATCCTGGATGGGGACGCAGAGGAGACGGCATTATCATCAGCCGTATCCATCCCTGCCAACTTCTCTCCCTTGTCTATTTTCTAAAAGGTAGTCACATCAGCATTTGAGTTAACACGCTTAGAGCTAAAAATAAGGGAGGTAAGGTGGGTCAGTTCCAAAGCAAGGCTCTGGGCCTCAGCTTTCCAACTTGGCACGTTCAGACAAGCTCGTGTCACCTTCCAGGCATGAGCTAATTACTCCCTGGGCTCATCTGGAACAATTCTCCCTAAAGCCCAAAGCCCAAAATAGTCCAACTGGGCTTTTGATCAGATGGGAAGCATTTGTACATGACAAGAAACTCTTGCCTCAAAGAGTTACGGCTGGGAAAGAACAATATGAACACAGGGCTCATTGCCTGAGATGGGGAACATTTCATAATGGCGCCTAAAGAGCTTCAACACGAAGGGGGCACGTCTACCTCGGCCAAAAAAAGGTTGCCTCTCTAATGAGAGAGACGAGATTGGAAGGACTCTGCCGCCCACCAGTGCTCCACGGCTCAGCTCTCATCCTGCCACCTTCACGTGACCTTCCCCAGTCATTCCAGCCAAGACTGATCGCCCCTTTTTCTAACTGTATACAGTACTTGCTATCTGATCATACCAGTCTTTACACGGTTTCCTATAAAGCTTTGGATGGTTCCTTTCACCCTATTTATGAGTCTGTGTGGGCGTGTTTGTCTCTTGAAAACACTCCATTGACATGTCAGCAGGGGCCGTGTTACAAAGTCTTTTCCTTTCCCCACTGTGCCAGGCACAGCATTAGGTCAGCAGCAGGCATTTCCAAGAATACTTGTTCAATCCTAACCTGATTTTTATTTCCAGCTTAATAAAGCCCTGAGGATGACCAAACAAGGAATCTGCTGTGAAACCTACTTCTTCAGGGGTCTTAGAACTAGAAGAGCCTCGCCTCAAGAATGGGAGGGTTTGCTCTTTGCTACAACCCCACCTATATCAACCGTGTACAGAAAACTACTGATTAGAGTACCAAACACATTTCTATTTTCTCTATTTCTTTTGCTATTAATCTCCGGTAATCAAACCACATTGCTGAGGGCTGGTCAGATACTGAGAGTGATACGACCACATGTCTCTTTCAAAATACAGAGTACCTCTGCCTGGGGAGCTGATCCTCACAGCTAGTGACGAGTGGCTACTCACCAAGCTGGGAAAAGTTGAATCTCGTTCCGGAGGGGGAAGTTACACTGGAGCCAGAGGAAAAGGGGGAGTTGGCGGCGGTGTCCTGCAGGCCTCCCGCGGAGTGGGACCGTAACCATTCTTTTGCGTCATCTTGTGTGCGAAGCTGGGAGGTGGGGGCATACCTGGACAGACGGAAATCAAGCTGGGATGAACTACGAACAACGCTTATGAAAAGGAACTCCGTGGCGCTGATGATAAACATAGAGAAAAAATATGCATATCCACAGATGACGTTAAAAAAATCAGATCACTAGACATCTCGAAACTTATGAAGTTTCTCAAAACCTTTTTTGCTACTTGGCTGCCTTTGGGGAAAATTGTAATTCCTTTCAGTTTGGAGGGAATACATAAAGGGAGCAAGATTGGTAAATGGTGAAAAGAGCCGGCCCTGGGCGTAGCTGTAACATGTTGATTCATGACAGCGTCATGTCAAAGCCCCCACCGTGACAGGACCGAAGCACAGAAACAAGCTGCTGTTAGGGTGTTGAGGACGTTTTACAGATAACTCACGGCTTCTGCATTCGGCAGCAAAAAGGAGTGGCCATGAAGCATGGCGTATCAGAAGCAGACATGTAGAGGAAGGCAGGAGGACACTGATGCTTATGGCGGTGGCTGCCGTTTGGCATAAATGAGTCTTCACAAAAGGAACCCAAATCTTTGGGGTTCACACAGGGGAGGGGTCTTCAGAAGTCACGTGGCCCACTTCGTCATTTTCTGAAACGTATTTGGTAGAGATTTATCGAACGTCTCCAAGGAGCTAGGTGCCTTCATAGACATTATCTCGCTGAAGCCTCGGATCCACCCGGCCACGCAGACACTAATATTCCCATTTTAGATTCAGGGAAAGTGAGGGCCACCTTGGGTCACATGCTGAGATTTCAATCCATATTTGTCTGATTCCAAAATCCATGCTTTTCTCATTATGCCCACCGGCAGCATCTCAAATTTCTCAAGTGCCCAAGTGGCCAGAGTACCCTTGGACTTTTTTTTTTGAGGAAGATTAGCTCTGAGCTAACTACTGCCAGTCCTCCTCTTTTTTGCTGAGGAAGGCTGGCCCTGAGCTAACATCCGTGTCCATCTTCCTCTACTTTTATATATGGGTCATCTACCACAGCATGGCGTGCCAAGTGGTGCCATGTCTGCACCCGGGATCCGAACCAGTGAACCCCGGGCCACCGAGAAGCAGAATGTGCGAACTTAACCGCTGCGCCATTGGGCCAGTGCCCCCCTTGGACTTATAAACAGATTACCGAGGGGTGACTACTGATTAACTAAATAGTGGGATTCCTTTGGCTTAAAAACAGGAGTTATTGGGGTGTTGGTATTGGATACGTGTGTGTATGGAGGGAGGGAGCTGCAAAGGGAGAGTCAGGGTGCGAGGGAACCTAAAAATGTTTCTTTCTCAATGTCTTTACTCTAGATGATGGATATGAACTTTCTAGATCCCATCAATAGCCTAAAAGCAGCCTGTCACATAACCCTATTCTGAATTCTTTTAAAAACCAATTTTAAATAGTCAGAGCTACATAATTTTGATAGGACAGACCTGTTCCAGAAATATATACAGCATTTTGAAATGTTCCTATTTAAAGAGCTTAGCTTCTTCTTGGGGCAACAGTGGGACATCACTTTCAAACTCATATTAAGAGTGGCCATCACTTCAGCATCTAGCATGGTTGCAGACAAGCAGCCTTCCTAGGCAGGATGAAAACTGCTAGGTACAAAAGGCCTTGCCAGCTCCCCCTTCTCAGGCCACAGTGCTGAACTTCTTCCCACAGGACATCTGTTGGGGGGGTTTTCAATACTTTTATTCTTCGATTCTTAGAATTGGCTTTCACTCGGAGCTCCTGTTGAAAGGGAGCATTGATACCCACCTCACGGCACTGTTCAAAATGCTCTCAGCCTTAAGAGCTGCAGGTTATTAACTACAGACACACATGACAGCAATGAAACATTTCATTCCAAGTTCCATTTTTTGCAAAAGCACTTAATACTCAGTGCAGGGTGAAGCCGATGCTGTAAAGAGGGAGGTGTTTAGAGAGCAGGAGAAATGACAGCTGCAACCGTCAGACACTGAGACCATGGGGCAGGCATCAGAACGGAAGTTCCTCTGGGCGGCAAAGTGAAGGAGATGATGTGAGCAATGGCGACTTGTAGCATCTTGTTTTACCAGGACTAGCACCAAAAATGAGCCCAGGCCGTGACTTGCAATGAACGAAAGGGCATTCCTTCCTTGTACTCTTTTCTTTCTTTTCACCAAAAAGTGATCACACTTGTGTCTTGCGGGCACTGAAAACTGAGCTGATTTTACCTGAATATTTAGACAAGTACAAAGCGACTGTCTTTAGTAATTTTCTATGGGCTGAAAGGTTAAATATTTTCAAATTGGGGGGAAATATTTCCCTCCTCCTTTGATCTTGCCCTGGCTAACAAATCAACATGCTACAAGTCATGTCCTTTTGCTTGGAAGACAGCCCATGAACAGAATGGTCACGGTGAAGTGCTCAGCGATTAACCCACTGGCCTTGGCAGGAGCAGTAACCGCTCTCGGGGCTCGCCCAGGAATGCTTTTCATGAGATGGTTTCACCACATCAAGCCTGAAGAAGCACAGCCTCTGCTCAAGCAAATAAGCCAACAAATGGAGAGATGAGAAGGAGAGGGGGCGAGGGGAGCCGTCGTCCAAAGGGTCCTGCTGTGGTGGCCAAAGCGGGGACCCCAGCCCAGCCCGATCCCCCAGCCATGAGAGAGTCACACAGCCAAGCCCCAAAGCCACACTAGAGGGCACGGATGCAAGGAGGAAACACAGATACCTGAGTCCTTTCTTAGGCAAAGTATTCCTATCAAGGTGCGGGTCACTGTAGGAAAGTCAAAACAACAGTGAGAACTTCCGAGCCGTACAGGGAAGGCAGACAATGTGGGCGGGGAGAGGCGGAGGAGGCCGGAGAGACCTGGAGGCAGAGACACCGCACCGGGAGTGCTCCCTCATCCAGCAGTGCATGCAACACACCCACGCCCACGGAAACAAAAGAAACCCAGTCCTCGGCCTGCCCGGACACCAGTGCACACTGTGTCCGGAGTCGCCGGGGGGCCTGAACCACTCAATCCCAATTGTTCCTCCTTTTCCACGAGTTCAAAGCAAAACTCAGCCTGCCCCACCTCGAAGCAGAGCCCGTGCCTTCTGCTGCCCAGTCGCCCATCTCTGCACCACCACTGCGTATCAGAGAGGGAGATGCCAGCTTCCCTGCACCCTGACTCTGGCCCACCCCCCCATGCCACTGGCGATGACTTCAAGTGACAGAAGGGACTTGCCGGAGGGTTTCAAGAGGCCGGCAGTCTGCATATTTGGAATTCATCTGTAACGAAGTGAATTCCAGGTCCCTCTCCCTTTCTGCGGCCGTTGGTGGGCGTGTCGCTAGGAGCGGAGCCCTGGCCCGGGTTGGGGCTTGTTACAACTTGCTGCCTGACACAGTCACGACATTCAGATCTCCAAAGAACAAGGGTTTAAAGGCTTGGTCTGTGAGTCAAGAGTTTTTGCTGTTGATGGGGTGAAGAGCGTTTTCATTAATTTTTTTTTTTTCTAGCATGAAGCAACATCTGCTTGTTACGTTTGGCCAAGCCATGGCTCCCTGACAAATTTAAGGTCAATATCCATCTCTGAGGCCCACCCATAGGCAGCTGGGGGCAAACAAGCGTCTCTGTAAAGTCTAAACACTCCCCATATTCTCTCTCCTCATCATCACAGGAAATGGGCACACAGAACAGCAGCCTGCAGGACAGAACCAGCCAACTGCAGCAAAGGACTCTGACAGGGAAGGGAGCAGAGCCAGCTGCGTGGGGGGTGGGGGTGGGGAGATGGAGGTGAGGGCCAAGCTGCACGGTGGGTGGTAGGTCATTTCTGGTCTTGGACAGGGAGGCGGGGGTGGGAAGGGTGGGAAGCAGAAGCATGCCACAGGAAGGCCGAGATGCAAGTGAGAGCTCCCGCCGCCGCCCCACGCCACCCCAGGTCAAGTGGCGGGGTTTGAGATTCCTTCCCAAGCTGGGAAGTGGGTGTCAGCCTGTGCCACCTCTCCCAGGGCTTTAGCGGACGGCGGAATAGACCCTCACTGGCATGTCTGGGGGTCACAAGGTACACCAGAGCCACGAACACAAGCGGAAGCCTCAGGCCAACAGCCTCACACACAACATCTGGCTTGACACAGACGGGCAGAGGAACCCGGGGGCTTGGTGGGGTCCGCGGCCTACAATGGCATTACCTGTCCTGTTTCCTGGGCAGAGTACTTCTGCAGAACTTAGGGCTAGCGGCAGGGGAAGAGAGAGGGCTAGAAGTCCAGGCAGGTAGAAAACAAGAGAAGGCACATTAGATTGGAAGAAAGGGGGGATGGGGATTGTTATATATAATGATTAGAACATTTTTCTCATCCCGAGGCTTTCTTCCCTACGTGCAGAAATTGTATTCATCCCTCCTGCAGTGAAATCCAGAGCTAAGGACGCTGTTGGTCTTTGATTTCCTATCACTCTGGCCGCAGCCCTTCAGTGGGGGTGGTTTGCCATGATGACCACCAAATCGAGCACATGCTACCACACAGTCCATGGCTGCAGCCAGCCCTACTCTGCCTGCACAATAACCAGTGGAAGCGAAAGAAGCAGCTGATGAACAAACAGAACAAAATGGAAGGATTTCAAAGGCAGAACGCCATTTAAAATGGAAGCATTGACTATACCCCCAAGAGGCTTCCGGCAGCCCCCAGCACTGAGAACAACCACAGTGAAAAAGATAACAGGAAACAGAGTGGAGCTTAATTCCACCCCAAACTGGCTTCCCCATGCAAAGACAGTAGTGATCAGAAAGAGAAATCTCCCAGGCAAAGGTGAATTAACACTTGGGATTCCTAACACAATATTCTGACTCCTGGCAGCGTGGCTTCCTGAGAGATACACAGGCAGCCAAATGCAGAGCACCAACCTTTCCGACAATGCGGTCTTCACACTGTTGGTTCTGACAAAGGGAGTCAGGGAGTCATCCTTAGAGGAGGCGAGGAGGCCGGTGGAGGAGTTGTGGCTCAGGCCCCCTCCACTGCTGAGGGAGATGTCAATGGACTCACAGCTGGTGTGGAGGCTGCTGACGGACTGGAAGCCCAGGCCGTCCTTGCTCACTGCTGAGGAGCTGCTGGCGTTGGTGCCCCAGGTGAGGCTGTTGGAGGGGCCTGAGTGGGCTGAGCTGGGGCTGGAGGCTAGAGGAGACTGGTTGATATCCGCGTTCTTACTGTAGAGAGGACTGCTGCTGCCACTGCTCAGGACGCCGCTGCCGGAGGGGGACTCCAAGTTACCTTGCTGGGTCAAGGTGGCATGAGGATTGGAGATAACGACTGAATTTTTCATGTTTTCAGCTGTGGCAATGGGCACTTGCTTGGTAGGCTTCCCACCAAAGAGTCTGTGAAGAGACAAAGGGTTGTGCAGGTTGGACACCCGGAGTTGGGGGCACTGGGCTGTTCAAGGAGGTGGGGCACGGGTTCAGGAGTGGGAGAGCCCCTGGGGAGGGAGGCACAGCCACTCCTACAGAAGTGGCTACAGGCCCTCCATTGGGAAAGGCTGCCATACAGTGGGCCTGGATGCTGGTGCAGCACAGGCTCTAGCTTCAAGTTCTAGGCTGCAGCTGAGACCCTGGCTCTGAGACAAACAGGGACGGGGGACAATTTTCTACAGGTCTATCCACACTGGCCCAGATCTTGCTTCCCTTTCTTCCCATAAAGAGAGTAACTAGAAAACTGCCTTGGCCCAGGAAACACCTAGATGGAAAAGAGCTGTCTTCATCATCTTTGTATGCATGACCCCAGGCACAAAGCAGGCACTCAGCTGATGACAGTTCAACTCCAAGGCATTTGCTTTCTTTGATCTCAAAGCACAACATGTAGAATCAAGAACATGAGTCTAGATCTGGATGGGGCCTGAGAAAAGTATCTTCAGGGACTTATACTCAAGGGAAAGCCCAGCCTGAAAGATGTGCCCTCGAGGGCCAGGGGGCTGGCACTACCCAATCATGTGCACAGAATCCTTGCTGGCTTCACAAGATGTTAGACGAGACACATTGGGTGTGAACTGTGTCTCGGTGGCAGATACAGAGAAATGCCACTCCCTGTCATCTCCCCACTGCTCGTGACCACCAATGTCAGAATATAGGAATGGCACAAACATGACCCCCTCCCATTGGCACAGGGGCCGCTGGTAGAACGGCAGAATTGTCTTAAAGTCGGGGGGTGGTACAAGCTCTAGGAACGCGAGGGCTTTCTTCTACCCACTACAACCCCTTGGAACAGGTCCCTCTGGAAAGTGACGAAACCACTGCCTATTATGATGGCAGGGTGCCTTTCACCCCGCTACTCGAGGTGGTGTTTGATCTCTGTCCTCTCCAAACGGTCCTTACAAATCTCAATTATTGTAAGAACAGACAAACAAACACATCATCAACCCTTACTACAATGTCTGGTGACAGATGAGAAACACTTTCTGCCTGATGACAATCAGAGAGTGAAATATCCTAGTGCAGAATCCCGGCTTCAGAATATTTACAAACTTCCAGTGACAGAGGCCTCACTGCTTCGAAGGGTAACTCACTCCATCGCCAAGCACTTCCAATTGTTAGAAAACCAAAATCGGACCCACCTCCTTCTGACTTGTGCTCCTCGCTCCTAATCCTGCTATGAGTAACTACACAGAAAAAGCCCAGTCTTTTGTCTGGTAGTCCTTCAGATCGTCTGAAAACAGCTATCACGCTTCACCTAAGATTTCTCTTCTCCATACTAATGCACGACGAGAGAATTGAGAACACCTTCACGTTTTAGGAGAAACGTAATCACCAGGAACAGGCTGAAAGGCGCTCAATGCAGAGCTGAAGAAGCTGCGTGCATTTTCAAGTCTTCTATTCCACTAGCCTAAGGGTCTCGTAAAATGCCTTTGTAGTTACGAAAGGAAATCTATAATACCAAAAAGCGAATATTACATAGAATACTTGAGGCAAGAAGCAGAGAAAATTTTCATTTACAAGGTGATCTGTTAAAACAACAAAGAGCAGCCCAATAGGACCTCCCCCTGAGAAAATAATCATTACTGAAATTCTAATAATCAAGTCTAGACAAAGAACAGTGAGCGGCTTCATTACACCTTGCATGTGGAATGCTTCTTCTGAAGTCTTTTCAAACATTCCGATTCATCCCCAAATATGTACATGTGCACATAATTTTTCTTTTTTCACCACCTCATTTTCTATTCCTGGGACTTACTCTTCCCTCTGACAAGAAATCTCCTGAGAAGGTAGGACGAGCTTTGTCCTAGGCAGCTGCAGTGTGAGGACAGTCCCGTGGATATCATGATGAGATAAGAGGAACAGGCAATAGTTGTATCCATTTAAAAGACACCATGTTGAAAAACCAGCAAATAATAATATTTTCATGTAAAAATTTCCACTCAGGGAAAATGCCTTTTTAAGGTCATAGGAAATCAGTTTCCTGCTCTAAGAGGTATTTTTTTTGAAGGAAGTTAAAATTTCAGAGACTAATTTAGAATTAAGTATGCAGTAAAAAACGGTACATAGGGGATATTGGACTATTTGAGAAAAGGATCTAGCCAAGATCACTGTCTGGCATAATGATGAAGAATCTCAGCCATAGAGTTAGCAAGACAAGAAAAAAACATGTGTCTGCTTCCCCTGGGCTACCCACCCAGATCTCAGGGGGCGTGAAGCTCTCATCTCGCAGGGTAGCTAACTTTTATGGAGTACTCACTATGGGCAGACTTGCCCGCATGGACTAGTCTCCACGAGAACTCTCAGGGGGGGGTGTCCCCATCACGCCCAGCTTACAGATGAGGAAGTGGAGGTAGCATTGTTAAAGCTTACATGGTGGCTAACTAAGGTGGACCCAGGACTTGAACCCAGGACGACTGATTCCAGAGGCTTATGATTTTCATCCCAACAAGGGAAAATAATCACCGACAAGAAAATTGCCAGCAGGATAACAGTTTTACCCTAGGACCAAAGTGGAGAAAAGCAGAGGCTGCTTTAATTAAGAATCAGGAATTTATTAATCTAGGATGCCATGCCACGTACTTCACTTCTGCTCAGTGCCACTACCCACTTACCTGCGAAGTGTGGGAGATGCCACATCAGGGTACTTGGCCCCTGGCTGGAGAGTGCCCTGAGCTGCACTGGACACAGGCTGGGCTGCCGGCGTCACCTTCACTGAGTTACAGGAAGCCACACTCTCGTTGTCCGATGAGATGCCTTTCTCCTTATCTGTCTGGTTGACCAGACCCGGCAGAGAGCTGCCCAGGGCCGTCTTGGAAGGCTCCCTCAGCTTGGGCACCGGCAGGCCTGCTGACTTGCTGCTGATGTTGGAATCTATGCTGCTGGTGCTAGACCTGTTTCCAGCCCCATTCCGGCTGGTGGACTTACTGGGCCTTGGCAAACTCCGGTACTGCAAGTTTGTCCGGGAGCTGAGAGACAGGTACCCATCGTCCTGATTCTGAGCCGCATCCATGCTCGTCTTCCGACCAGCAGACCGACCGACAAGCGCAGACGACTTTGGGATTTTGCCCAGCGTGGCTGACCTGCTGGTGACGGTGGCCCCGCTGGCTGTGATCATGGCCAGACCGGCGGCTGAGCCACTCTGCTTCTTGAACCCAAAGCTGTTGGCATTGGCAGCGGGCGTCCTGGAGCTGCTGGCGAGGGGCTTTTTGGACTCGTCACCACTGCTGCGGCCTGCGTCTGATGGGGAGCGCTTCACCTGAGAGGCTTTGGGAGACAGCCTGCCTTTCTCAGACACCTTCGCATCGTCCGTTTTTCCTAAGAGAAATCAGCAGGGTTAGCCTGCAAACCAAGAAGCCAGCCAGCTCCGTCTGTTTAAAATTCTCTCCTCCTTGGAAGAACGGGCTCGCTTTCTCCTTGGGGAAAGGCGTACCCTCGGGAGGCAGAAGGAAAGAGCTTTTTATAAAGATAATCTCGTCTACTACTGTCACCGTGAGGCTTTTAGATGTCGATGATTTTACTTACTTGCAAAGCAGTCTAAATTGACCCAGAATAAAGCAGAGCCAGCCTGTCACTGATATACCTGGGAAAGGGAGCCTGCCCTTGACTGACCTTTCTCCCTCTGTGCATTAAAGAGCCATCCCCTTACATTTCCAGGAGGTTCCCCTGCCTTCCTGCAAAAACTTGTTTACACACATCCCTAAATCACAGACAACATCAACCCAACACCCTGACAGCTCGTAGACACATGCCCTGGAACGGCCTGCCCGGGGTGTGAGCTCTCACCCAGCACGTGGTTATACTAATTCAATACGCTTCAGCAGCTGAACCGTCTTCAGAGTTTAAGAGGCTCATACGCTTACCTATTTCCACTTGGAAAAGGGTAGGGATGGGAACCTTTCTGAAAGCTGGTTATTAGCAGAGACTAAACCCTAAGAAGAAATACCCGAGCATTTATGGGGACTGAAAAACCATGTCAAGTCCTTGCTAGAGTGATTAAGGTTTTCGTTTTCAAATGGGCAGCTGTGGATGGCAGACGGCGCCCGCCTCCTCGCACTCACCGGTTCCTGGGGCCTTCAGCGTGCCTGCCGGGGCAGCCGCCTTCGTCCTGGGCACGGTGATGCCCACCTGAGCCGTCATGCCGCGCCGCCACGAGCCTGTCTGCGAGATGACGGGGTTCTTCTTGCCGGACGTGCTCTTGTCGGACTCGTCGGACACGTCCGAGGGGTTCCGCCTCCACTTGGACCCTGGCTCCATCTTTACGCCGCTGTCTGACCCTCCGTCTGACTTCTTGACATCATCGCCAGACCACAGGGAATTTCTCTCCACCTGCGAGTGCTTCTCGGCGTCGGTCTGCGGACGAGACTCTCTGAATTAGTCCTTCCCAGATCCAGGCTGGGGAACCCCTCACCCCAGAGCAAAAATGCTGATGCGATGGAAGAGTTAAGAGAAAAACAAGAGATAAGCACTTTGAAATGTCTGGGCCTTTGTACTCTGGTTATCTTGTCAGAAAGCCTGATGTTTTTCGTTCAAGGAAAGCAAAGATTATAGTTCGGTCCTAGAAGGGAGTGAGGGAGAGGGTAACAGGGACCAGGGGCAATGGGGGAAAGAGCCTCTGGGAGGAGACCCACCAGCAGACAGAGACGTGGGAGAGTCCAGCCACCAACTCTCTGCTCTTGGTGGCAAGCCTCCCCAACTCGGGCGGTCTGATCCCCATCCGGCTTCCAGCCTCCCTTCTCTTTGTTCTGCCGGCTCCCTCTCGCTGCACTGGCAGCGAGATCTCTGGATCCAGCACGGCGCCACAGTCTAACACACTGAGCGAGTCAGTAAGGGAGCAGGGCGGCTGCTAGTTCCACTCGAATCTGGGAGAGGGGCTGAGGAGACAAACCCTGAAGCTACTTCCCCGCGGTGCCAAAAGCCAACGGCGCCTCCTCCCGCCCCAGCTCCATTTATACACCACCCCTTTGCTCTGCTTGTGGGATTTTGTTCCGACAAGGGATATAATTAGCCAGCTTTCTTTGGAAGAGCCCTGACCTGCTGGCCTGGAACCCAGGAGGGGACAGAAGTGTGATGTTAATGATTTGCTGCAGTGAAAAGGCAGAAAGCTAAGTAGAATGCTTCGGGGGCCTCCCCAGGGGCCAGGGCCAGTCCGAGGAGATCCCAGCAGGCAGCAGCAGCACAGGGATTGGGGGTGGAGGTCAGCAACAGTTAGGGCGGCTATGCGAGACCCAAGTCCCCTGTCTGCTCTGCTTAACTAGCAGGAGTGCGCAACTGCAGCCAGGTAGGAAACCGAAAGGACACCTGGCAGGAGTCTGGCCTAATGCCTGTCGTCCAAGAGGACGAATGCCTTCCTGCGCCGAGCACACTGGCCAAACGGGGCAAGCAGGTCAAGTTCAATCTTGTCCATCACAAGCACACCACCCCCCCGTCCCCACCCACTATGAAGTCCACTCATCCATGACAGCCACCTTCCGGTGCCTTCACTTGTTCAGTCATACTGCACACACATGCTGAGTCCCCACCAGGCTAGGGAGTTTCGGAGTTTCGAACACGCCTCGAAGCTCCTCATTCAGCTGTGGTGAGGGAAACAGACAGAGGCCTTCCTACCTCTGGGCACAGACAGGAGCGCAGCCAAGGCTTGATGAGTAAGTGAGTGAACAAATGAACACAGCCTTGGGGCTACAGCACACTTTAACAAAACGGTGCCCCCAATCCCGGCCATCATCTGCTCATGAGGGTTAGCAGGTGAGCAGCACTGCCTCACCTCAGTGTCACAGAAGGACGGACACTCAAGTCACCCACCCCCTGCACAGCCACCCCAGCCTGGCGGTCCCTTCCTCCAAACCCTCCCAGGATGTTCCTTCAACCAGACTGACTCATGCCTGCCTTCTGCCAGGTACCATGGAGGGTCTGAGAATCTGCGGGTCGGACTGGTTCCCACCATCATGGAATTTACGATCCCGTGAAAGAGGCAGAGGTTGGATAAATAAATACAAATACATGTGCAATTGTGAATTATGAAGAAAGTTATAAAGAAAAGGACAAGGAGTCTGAGGGAAACACAGGCACTGATGTAATTTAGATGATGATGATGGAGGTGTGGGAGCGTGTTAGGTAGGGCCATTCTGAAGAAGTGCCCGATAGAATGAGAAGACACTAAGAGATGAGTTTAGGGAAGAGCATGTGCAAAGGCCCTGAATCAGGAAAGAGCTTGGCTTTGGAAACATTCATCCAACAAATATTTGCCACTATGTGCCAGGCAAGCTTATGGGCACTGGGAATACCACAACAAATACAAATCATTAACCTTCCGGACCTCATGTTCAGGTACATCCCAACACTTTCTAATCCACTCCGAGAAGTATATCTCATCCTGGGTTACTGCATTAGTTATTCTTTTAAGGGTCCTATTCCTTATTTCCCCCAGTCAAACTGTAGCGGTGCTAACAGCAGAAGTAACAAGCAGATTTATTGAGCACTTACTATATGCTGGGTGCTGGGCTAAAGTGCTTTACAGGGATCATTTAATTTAATCCTCACCAAAACCCAGTTCGTATTCTCAACATTCATGAGACAACTGAGGCAGAGAGGAAAAGAAAAGTGCCCAAGGTCACACAGCAAGGAAGCGGAGATGCAAGGATTCCCGGGAGTCCAACAGAGCCCACGTTTTAACCACTCTGCCACGCCGCCTTCCTGGAGAAGAAGTCTGAGGACATGAGACACTTCTGCATGCCCAGCAGCACCGAACACAATACCTACACCCAGCAGATTCTCCTTCCACACTGGCTGGCTGGGGGCCCCCAAAACTCTGATTCCACCAACGGCAGAGAGAGCACATAGGGCCCTGGTCCAGGACTGTGGCTTGAACCGCCCTTCCCCCCAAGACAGAACAACCACCTAACCATCAGACCCCCACGACTTGGTCCAGGGTGGTAGCCTTCCCAGCTCACTCTGCACAGCAAGACACCCACCCTGGGACACTCTACTGGCTTCGAGTTCACATCTCCCTAGCCAACGTTTCCTGAGCTATGAGCCAGAGCAAGTGGTAGCACCACTAGGAATCGAAGATGAAGAGGTCCCAGCCTGTGTGTCCCCAGAGCCTACAAGAGCAGGGCAGCAGGACAGCCACATGGGGATGCACACAGAGCCGTCCCCTCCCCTTCGCTCTCCATGCCCTTGTCAGTGGTTCCATCTCACATGGCACCTCCGTCTAGAAGGACTTTCCTGCTGCCCCTACCTGCAAACCACGTACTCAGGCAACATCCAAGAAGGAAGGCGGGAAGTATGCAGAGGGGCAGTTCACCCCCGAGGGCCCAGGTTCTTCAAGGACCACAGAAGGGAGTGTGAGAGGGTGGGTCTAAGGAGGGGCCCAAGGAGTGAGGAGGGGGCTGTGTGGCATGATGTGGTGGAAGAGCACAGTGTAGAGTTTGACTTCAGTTCAAGAACCAGGTACTGCCACTCCTTGCTGTGTGTGATCCTGGTGGAGGCGCCTTACTTCTCTGAGATTACAACCTTGTGTATAAAATGGGATGATGATAGATGAGTGCCTTAGAGAGCTGGTGGTGGACTCAATGAGCTTGATGTGGAGGAACTCAAACACCTCTGAAAATCCCCAGCACTTCAACATTTATGCCACTTCCTCTTGCATTAGGGTGAACAGGGTACTTGTCCTTCCTGCTATCGGGCCACAAGCCTCTAGAAGCAGGGGACACTGTCCTCTTCATGCCCATATCCCCTGAAGATCAAGAGGCTGAAGTGGTTGAAGTTGGAGCCAGTAATAACAGAAATAATTAACAGTATCAGCATCAGCACCTGCCATTTTTCTCGCCAGGCACCGTGTCCCTATACGTACCTTATCAGCTCATCTAGGCTCTGAATTTGTACTATTATCCATAGTTTAGAGACCAGGAAAGCACAGGTGTGAAGAGGAAAATAAGTTGCCTAAAATCACGAGCAATATCCCCCAGCAGGTGGACAGAAAGGCGCCCCTCCTCGCCCCCAGCCAAATGCCATCCCTATGTCCAGACCAACACCCAGAGAAGATCTAGGGAGCTCCAGGCTCACTCAAGGCCACACAGGACAGGAATCCTTGCCAGAGAATTCACAACTTTATTTCCTTGAGTAGCAAAAAGTAAACTCACATGGAATTTTCTTTTCCTCCCTGTATACTTTATTAAAAATTTCACAGGAGGTGAACATAAGAGGAACCTTGACATGTGTTTCTTTGCATCTCGGCATCTGGAATGGAAACTTCCATGGAACTGAGAGGAAATACTGAATGACCAAGGACACGCACGGATAGATGAACATGTGGGGGAGAGAGATGTATTTGTTAAAGTCCTCTGCCATCAGTACACTGTCTTACATATGAAATGCTGCAAAATACACGATGAGCTGCTCTGAAACTACAAACAAAATATATGCGGAACACAGTCAACTTTTCATTCCTGATGTGAATGGAGGAGGGAGGCAGAGGGACAGCGAATCCAGAGGAAACTGAGACAGAAAGAAGGTAACTTCTGAGCAACCACCGGGAATCAGACACCGAGAGAGAGTGTTCAGATGGAGTATTTCCATGTCACCCTTCAAGATAGGGCCATTTACTGCTACTTTACGGACGAGGAGGCAGAGGCTTGGAGAGGATGATTAGCTTATCCAAGGATGTCACAGAGTGAGGAGCTAGGCTCTGACTTCAAAGTCCTTCTACCCAACATGGCAGCCTAGTGTGGCTGCCCAACCAGGTCCACCAGCTCTCCTGGGGAAAGCGGGTCAAGAGCTCTCAGACCTCAAGCAGGGAGATTCTCTGCCCAGCATGCAGAGGAGCCATGAGCACAGAGGCCCGATGATGGGTTTCTGGGCACGTGTGCCCGTCGAGGGCACCCTCAGGGCTCCTCAACTTCCTTGGGCAAGTCACTCAGACACACAGGGTCTTCCATCTGCCAAGGATTGCTCCTCTGTTACCCCCTCTTTCTCTTCAACCAGCTAAATGTGGCTGCTCCTTGGCGGTCCAGGCAATAACTCCCCGGTTTCTTAGACGTAGCTCCCTTAGCTGTTCCATGGAGGCTTTTCAAATATGAAACCCTAGGCAGGAAGCCTGTCCTCAACCTGTTTTTCTGGTGCACATGCTGAGCCCCTTCTTCCTGCCTGTCTGTGTGTACTCAGGACACTGCGTGCTGCCCGTCATCCAGGAGAAACCAGCATGTGATGGAAAGTGGAATGAGCCCCAGGGCAGGACGGCTGCGCACATCCTCCCGTTGCCTGACGCTGCTCAGAGAGGAGTAACTTCCTTTAGCGTTCTGCCAGGTGGTACAGGGGAGGGGGAGGAGGCTGCGACTTACGCTGTTCAAATATTTGGAGATGCTCCCAGACAGGAACAAAGGGATGCCAAAGAAATCATCTCAGTAGGAATCTCAGTAACTATTGGTGCAAGTCTGCATTTATTTTATTCCAAGACCTGCTTGCCTAGTTTTTATTTAAATATTTTAAACTCAGGTAGTTTTGTAGCAGAAAACAATCCAATGAGTACTAAACCCTTTACATCCTTTGAAATTAACTTTCTGACCTTGATCAAAAGACATGTTTGTGTAATATTCTTGAGCCTTGTCTGATGTGACATTTGCGAGATGAAGCAAAGAGCTGGTCAAAGATGAGGGGGCCCTGGCATTAACCAAATCCAAGTGCATCAGACAGGAAGTCATTTGTAAATCCCAGATGTTACTCTATAGCAGGGTGGGAAACAGACTCCAACTCCAGCTTTGCAGGAAGGAAGCAAAGACAAGGAGATCACTCCCACAGCACGCTGTCGGCTCAACGTGCATCTTAGGGGCAAGGCTCTTCCTAGCTCACAAGCAAACAAAAGACACCTGTTGGTTTATTGATCTCTCTCTTTCTGTCTCTCCCTCCAGGTTCTCCACCTCGGTGTCTAAGGACAGTCTAGAAGCTTGGTGGTCGTTACTTTGAAATTAGAATGTCTCAGATAAAAAAAAAAGTGTCCATAGGAAAGGAAACTGGTGGATATGGCGACATTTGGCCAGTGGTAGGTGGCAGAGACCCAAGCCGGCTGGTGTTTCTAACTCGTGCCTGGTCACTGATGAAACGGTGATCGCTCTCAGGCAGCATGGCCTTGGGTTTTTATTAATCAACTTTTTAATTGAGGTATACCATTCATATACTAAATACACAATCTTCAGTAGGTAGCTTGAATAAATTTTATAAAATTAACTTACTTACTTAACTACCACTCAGATCAAGATACAGAACATTATCAGCACCCTCAAATTCTTTGTGTCCGCTTCATTTGGGTAACTTTTTTTCTTCACCACCACCACCACCACCCACCCTCACTTCCCAACAATAATTAGAAGTTCTGACTAAAATGAAAACTCAAGAAGTCACAGGCAATCCCAGCGGCAACACCTCTGATATTTCATCAGGCCATGTTCACACTTCCGTGGGACAGACTCACTCCCACTCTGACATGTCCTTTATTTAGGCCTGTCCTCCAAGAAAAGACACCTCTGAGAGCAAAGAGATTTCCAGAGCAGCTCCTGTCTGTAGAAAGTGAGAAACAGCTGCGAAAGGAAGCGGATGTGGAAGGGAGGGAGGGAGAGAAGGGGGCAGTGTCAGTTCTGCCCTCCAGAGGTCCCTCTGGGAGACTCTGTCCCCATCAGACCTTCATGTGGGTTCATCCAAGGCAGCAGCCCCATAGGTGAGAGGGACCCATCCTGAAAACATCCCAGCCCACACATGCCAGTGCTGACACCATGGCTGAGCAGTCATCACGCCCATCAGTCCCAACTTGGGGACCAGCTGTGAGGACGACACCTCGGTTTTCCACTAAGAAATGGGCTTACCAGAACCAACCACTTACTAGAACCCCAGACCACTAAGGAAGGCTGTGAGGGCAAGTGATCACGCCCCCACGGAACAGCTTTGGAAGCAAAGATGAGGCCGCACCATATCCGAAACACACAATCTGAGAGTGTAAAGTAGGGCTGGAAAGCTCAGGGGCCTCAGGCCAAACAGGGATTTTTAAGGGGGCAGCTGTGGCACACGGGGGCCTGGGTCCCTGTCCGAAGGGGGCTGACACGTGGAGAAAGTAGCCTCGAGGAGGCAACATCTTTTGATTTTTCAGGAGAAACCAGAAGCTCATTTTCATGTAAAATAATGTATTTTAAAAATTTGACATGGAACCCAGTTTAAAAGAGTAATACTGTGGACCAAATAAAACACATTGGCGGGAGCTGTGACCTACAGATAAACAGTCCCCAACCTCTGGTCTTTCTGTCCAGCGTTCTCCATCTTTGTTTTCATCCCATCCCTCCCAGGGATCAGACACGTGCTGTGGACAGGGGTGTCACTGTGGCTAAGAGGGGACACATACTCCAGGCTAAAGACAGACAATTGAGTCCGAAATTCCTTTTTTTTTTTTTTCAAGCAGATTATAAACCTGAGGTCCAGGAAGGAAACATTTTACCAGGGCCACCCCAGTGAGAGTGGGCGAGGTCCCCCCACTCCAGTTTCCAGGCCCCGCTGCCTGACCCCGTTTCCCTGCAAGCAGAGGCCACAGTCGGGAGATGAGAGCGCAGGCGGCAAGCAGGAGGTCGGGCCTCGTCTCACAGACCTGGGGATTCTGCTCACTCCAAATGGCCCCCTTGACCCACAAGCCCGAGGGCCCCTGCTGGCAGGGGCCTTTGGAGGAGCCTGGGAGGGACCCTGTGCCTTACCTGCACGTCCAGGTTTTTGCGAGAGGAGGCAGGTGTATTGGCATAGGAGCTGATGGAGGAGCTGGTGTTGATGTCATCAGTGCTGAGGTTGTCTATGGTGTCGCTGATCCCGCTGCTGACGGAGCTGCTGTCATCCCAGCTGTCAAGACAAACACATCCTGAGCACCCGAACCTCATGCTGTGCCAGCTCAGGCTGACGACACAGACAAACGAGTCCTTTCCCCGAAGGATCCTTGGGTCATGAAGCCCCAGAGAAAGTTCTTTTGCCTCTAACGTCACTTACCTTCAAGGGGACCATCCACCTGTGCCATTCTGGACTGGCAGCTGGGTGAGGTGGCTGATACGCACCTTCCCCCAAAGGGCAGGTGCATCTCTGAGCAGAGGTGGCTAAAGACGCCACCCACTCACTACCCCATCCTCAACATCGTCTCGGGAACTCTGTAGAAGCCAATGGCTACTTCCCAGGCCTAGCGGCAGAGTAGGAACAGTGGTTTTGGAGACTAGCGCCAAGAGCCATGCAGAGAAAGAGTCAACAGTGGCACCTCCCTCGGGGTCGGAGTGGGAAGAACAGCTGACGTTCAGATTCTCTGGACTCCACTCCTGGACCGCAGCGCCAAGGGAAGGAAAGTGGCAGAAAACTGTCAACTCTATGAATAGCTCGAAGTCCAACAATATCCCAGGATGCACCTAAAATAGAGTCCATTTCCCAACCCTCAGACCCACTGAGACCACCCCCCGTGCTCAAGTTAAATCTCCAAGCGATGAGCCCTCTTCCTCCTTAGCATCTCCCACCTCCCAGTGCCACCAAGACATTTAACCCACCACCTGGTCCGCCACCTCTACTTGTCAAAAGCATCCCAATGGGGACAACTCTCTACGTCTCCTGCTGCCCTTGCAATTCGAGTGGCCGTCAACTCTACCTAGGTTACAGCCAACAGGCCAGCTGAGCCCCGTGTTCCACTTCTGCTCCCTAACAATGCATCCTCCCCACAGCAGCTAGAAGGATCCTTCCGAAACACAAATTGGACCCCGCTGCCCCACTGCTTGATGCCCTCCAGTCGCTTCTCGGGGACTTAAACCCAAACTCCTTTGGCCCTCAAGACCCTCTGATCCCGGCTCCCCCTCCAGTCCTGCCTCGCGCCAGCCTCTCCATCACTCACTGGCTCTGCTCACATGGGCTTCTGTTCCTTCTAAGCCAACAGGGCTCTTGTGTTCATGGCTTTGCACTTGTTGTCTCCCTTCCTGGACACTTGTCTCTGCCTCCTCCTCATCTGAAGAGTCATCTCCTCAGGAAGGCGTTCCCTGGTCCCTCTCTCTGCAGTGTCCCTGCCCCCACTACCCATTGAGCCTGCTGCATGTTCTCATTTGTTTGGTTGCAAGTACATAGCAGGTACTTAATAAATACTTGCTGATTTAAATTCATGGGAGTGAGAAGTCAAGCAGGCTATAAAGTAAGCTTCCATCATTAACACTGGAAAAAGGTAAGTATTACTGTTTCTCTATTGTACACATGGAGAAACTGAGGCTTTGGAAGGTAAGATGCCTTGCAGGAGACCACACAGCAAGAGGTGGCGCAGGAGCCGGATCCAGCCACTGACTCCAGAGCCACCTTCTTTATGTGACACCAGACGGCTTTCCATTGCATCCACGTTCAGTGCACACGGGAACACGACACGGCCCACTTCCCCAGGAGGAGGCTGAGGCTCGGGAGGCCAGGCACAGCCAGCTGAATGTCAGACAGCGGGGGCGGCAGGGCAGCATCTCCCACCAGACCTGCCTGATAACGGAGCACTGATGTAACCACATCCCTCCACCATGAAGCCCTCCTGAAAGGCCTGCCGAGGTACCACTCCCCTCAAACAACCCAAAGAAGTTCTAGTTCACCCCACAGCCTGTAAGACGCCTGCCTGAGCTCTGCTGAGCTCAGTGAAAACCTGTGCTCATCAGCTTTCCCATCAGCGTGCCAGTCTGGCTCCCAGAAGCCCACCCGGAGGGTCCCGCGCACGCAGGGCAAAGTAGGAAGGCGGGTCCCAAGCAGGGACGATAAAAGCGGGAAGTGTGAGGGCTCAGAAAGGGGTTTACTGTGGATGAATTCACCAGGGTCCAGAGGGGCCCACGGCTGCAGGGGCTCAGTAAACTTCACTGCTCCGTTTCCACCTTCTGGCCCGGCCTCCATCGACCTCCAACTTCTCCTTCCGGCCTTCTCCAAATGCTCCAGGCCACCCTCCTCTGAACTCTCACACAGTCTCGTGCATCTGCATTCGCTTCCATAGGCTCTTACACAGTTTTCTAGCTATTCTCTCTAGGAAGGTCTGTCCTACCTTCCGAATATATGCAGGGACCTGCTTAGTGACAGCCACCAAGTGCATATCATGTGTCAGGCATCGTGCTTGAAATAGACATTTCTCCAATCCGCATATCACACCTGCTGGGTACCTATTATCCTCCCCCTCTGACAGATGAAGAAATCCAGGCTCAAGGAACAAGCATCTTGACCAGTGTTGTTCCGTCAATGTTAGAATCAGGTTTCAAATGCAGAAGTGTCGAACAGGTGCTCCCTCCGGCCTGAATCACACTGTCTTTCACACCAACGGCCTCTCGCTAAGCACCTGCCAGCTACCCAGTGCCTGCGCACTTTCTCCCCATCTCCCATATTCACTCACGGGTGGCCTTGCTCCTTTGTGAGGAGGCTGAGGCTGTGAGAACTGTCGTCCAAGGTCACTGCAAATGTATGGCAGGGCTGTGAGTGAGACGCTACCTGACCCCTCAGCCCACCTCTCGCCCCAACCCCACCTGCAGGGCAGTGTTGCAGCAATGTCCCCTCACTTTGCATCCACTCCACTTCCAGGCACACAGTATGTGTTTACTAAACGCCTCCTGACCGAACTCACATGCAGAGGAGATGGGCCAAGTTCTGATGCAAACTAACCACCTGTGGTGGATTCTGAGCCCAGCTCCCTCCCACTTCATTCTTTGACAAGTGACAACTTCCGTGCCTCAGTTTCCTTAGGGGTGACAGGTAGATGATCCCACCTAGGCTGGCAACCACGTAAGGCTCTGCTGGGGAAAGCATGACCTAACAGATGGAAAAGGCCTGAAATCTGCCCTCGCCATTAAAGGAAAATCCCATGAGTCTTTAATTGCATCTGCTCTCCGGGGTTAGGAATTTAATGTATCTAAAATTTCCTATAATCCAACGAAGACGACAGAGGGCCGACAGGAGAGGAGTGTGGCCGGCAGGAGGAAGGAGGGAAGTCAGAACAGATGCCCACAAATCCAGACCCCAGACCTTTGGCTTTGAAATTGTATCACTGTTCCCCTGTGGCCTTTCAACACCAAGATATTGCTCCAGAGGGGCATGTGGCACTTACCACACATGCGATTCTTCCCACACGGGCGCCAGGAGCATCGTGGGGCCACCCTGAGTTTATAGGAAGGCCTTGTAACCAAGCCGGCCCAGGAGGGAGAAACCAGTGATCAACCCCACAGAGGAGCAGGGTGGGAAAACTGATAAGGAGGATGAAGGGGCAGTGACACGAGGAAACCCATGCTGAGCAAGAATGGCCTCGGTGTCCCCCAGAACCATCTGTGTGCTCCAAACCAAAGCCATCCCTGCATGTGGCAAACCACCACGTCTCCTTCACGTCTAGATCTTTTGGGACATCGACAAGTCTACCTGCATATAAAATCACTTAGTTTCAACTTGTCCTTTTCCCCAGATTCAGGGTGTAAATGGTCATGAGCCGCCAAGATCAAGGCCAGTGAGTTCCAAGATGTATTCTAAGGAAAACTGGTTCCATGAGATGCTCTGCGACAACAAGGCTGCCCTAACACGCTCTTCTATCCCTCAGAGATTCACGTCATCTGCGAACTTCTTAACAATTCTGACGTGCTTGAATGATCTCTTTAATTTTGCCTAAAATAGCCCTCCCCAAACTTGTCTGACCACACAGGAGACAGGGCAAAGAAGGAAACACAACTCAGGAAGAAATGCACATGGAACCTCGAGGCACCCCTGGGGGGCCCAACCGGGAGAACTGAGAAATTCCTTTCTTTTGCTCAAATCTAGTTTGCTTATTAGGTTTTTGTCACTTGGTATACTTGTGCTAACTAACGGAGAATCACAATTGGTTTGTAAAATGACTCCAGACAGGTGGCTGCAAGTCAGACAGGAAAAATGTGGAAAGCACACAGAATTCATTCAGGCAGCAAGGACATTAGTTGAATCCAATCAAGTGGCAAAGGAAATTAGGTACAACCTGGGATGGGGTACAGACGTCCATTGACCCAAATCAGGCGGTAAGTGCTGAAAGAGGTTACGAAACCTGATTACGACTGGAACTTGAAAGAAACCCAGAGAATGTGTGTTTACTGTGTGGTGAAACAAAATTCCAGCTGAGAGGCTCAAGGGACCCTGATGATACAGCAGAAAGAAGTACAGTGGCTCTGGAACAATCATTCTGGAATACTGATTGGTCATTCCTGTGTCCTGGTCTTGAATCTGAGTGAAATGAACTATATGATGGTCCTGAGCCCACCAGAGAGATAAACCTACTCCCCTTAGTTGGGAGTAAATGCCTTTAAATCCTGGGAAAGGTTTAAAAAGATGAAAGGAGATGATGAAGTAAGTCGTAATATTAATACTTGAGTTGAGGATGAAAGTTCTGTGGTCACTGGGATAATCTCTGTATATTTCTAATATTGAAAAGAATATACGACATATTAGAGAATCCGAACACAGTCTTGTGATTTCTATTTTAACTGAGCACTTACTTCTGGCTTGAGATTTTAAAGACGAAAGATTTAAGAATTGGATTCAGACTATGAAAACAATTGGAGTGTTTAAGATAACCTAATTTATGACATTTGTAACTTTATTTGATTTGCAAGAGTTGTTAAGTGCTTAGAAAGCTTTTGCTTGTTGGGCTGGTAAGTCTGCCCTGTCAGATATTAGAAGAGCCCAAGGAAACCAGGTATGTGAAATTTATTAATGCAGCCTAAAATATTTAAGGATACTTCTTTACCCAAGTTTGCAAACAGTACTGATTGTTTAGTTAAATTCAACTTGTTAAGTCTGAATTAATAAAGTACTCATCAAATAACAAATGGAAATGATCTTAATTTATACAAAAATACTTG